TTTTGCCCCCTCATTTTGCCCCCCCTCAAAAAAATTATTAGTCACTAAGAGCGACTAAAGACTGCACAAGCGTTCTGTCGTTATCGAAAAATGTATGGCTTATAAGTTGTCATTACTCATTAGTGAATGCGCGTATACATGAAACTGTTTTTACAGTTTCAATATTAGTTTGTAAATCTCCGAATGGTAAAACTTGCCAATACTCCAATAATACGTTTCAAAAAAAGACAAAAAAGCTTTAGTTTTGCAGAGTTAAATTCTCAAACGTGTAAGGCAATAATAAAATGAAAGTATCACGAAATTATTTGAATAAACCACATCGCATATATGGGGGGGGGGGATGTCCTAAAGAGGGGCGATATTCCTAGGGTATTTGCCCCACCCCCGTGGGAGGCGATATTCCCAGGATATTCGCCCCCGGGGGCGATATACCTAGGAATATCGCCACGTTTGGAGGGAGGGGGGGGGCGAATTTCCTGGGGGGCGACCTTTTTAAAAATTCTATCTTGCCCCCCCCAAAATTTGAGTTTGCCCTCAAATGCCCCCCAAATTTGGAAGCCTGGCGCCGCCACTGGTTCTGCAAATAAATTACAATATAGCTAATAGTAATACGTTATAATATATCTTTCTGAAGTATATGTACTAGGAAATTACGATGTAAAAAGTAAAATAAGTCACTACTATAATCCAAAGTTCTTGATATGTTTAAAAGTTATAAGGAAATCGTTTTCTCAAATAGAATTGGGTAAATTGTTTCAATCCTTAAAAATGTAATCTCTATTTTAATGAAAATCTCTATTTTAGTCTGTCACGAATGAAACAGACTAAATGTAATTTTTCTAAATATAGAAACATTTCTATATTTAGAAAATATATTTAAAAAAATTATAGATTCCTTGATACTTAGGACATACCAAGCTACTATTGTGCGGGAGGATACAGGTTTATCATGATATTTGTTTGATGGAAGCAAAATTTTCCAAGGCTGTAAATATCTCTATCGTGCACAAACCCGCCCTGTACGTTTGACAGTCGAATTATTTGGCTGGTCAGCGGCCTCCGCCATAACAACAACAAAATCGAGTTATATAAACGATGGACTGATGGAGGAATTGACTAACATTGCCTGTTCGGACGAAGAATCAAGATTTATATACAAGACTGTGTCTACAATAATCATTAAGATATCGAAAGTGATTAACACTAAAGAATAATGGCAGCTAACGAACGTCAAATAATAAGTCAACTGACAATTCGGGTCATTAAATGACAAGGCTGTCGATCGAGGCATACTTTGTATCAATATAAATATATTGGGGTAGGTTTTCTCTTGACTTTTTAAATAAATCTTCAAAATAAATCGATGTTTGATAATTTGTTGACTAACGGACGTCTTTACATGATGCAAATGTATAACTTGTCTTGATTATATTCAGCTAGAAAATGTTTATTATTTATACAATACGGTCCATTACGTCCATAAATAACGGAAATGCCTGTGTCAGTGCTTTTCCCTAAAAGACGTTAGACAACAGTAAAGGTCAAACGAATGTTCATCACTGTTCTAGGTCCAATAATATGTAAAATTTTGCTCTTTCAAAGCAGAGTTTACAGTAAACATGAACGTTCTTATTTACTCCAAACTGCCGAAAGTCGAAAATGTTGATGTTTTGTTGGCCTGTAGTATCTCCAAAATTTACAGGCCGCAATATTTTATTTTATATTATGTAAGACCAACCTTTAATCTCACCATACAAATAATATTACATTCATAGCAAGTCTAACTTTTGAATTTTAGGGGTTTTATTTCACCCATTTTTAAGGAACTTGGAAATTTCTATTTTAGTCTATCATGAATGATGTCATTTCTATATTTAGAAAACAAATTTGAAAAATTTATAGATACCTTGTTACTTAGGACATATAAAGCTACTATTGTCTGGAAAGATTTAGTTTTATGATTATTTTTGTTTGATGTACAGAGGTTTAAAAATCAGCAAAAATCCACTATTGAGAAACAGCAAAAATCGTAATTTTTCCCTCAACTTGACCCCCCTGGAACTTTGCCAAATTGCTATTAGACTGAAAACAAAATGCATTTTGAAACAACCCTTATAAAGGCAATCTCAACTACAAAGTTTGAGAGAAATCTATTTGTTGATCCAAAGAGGTCATGAGGTTCTTACAGAGACTGCCTCTTAAGCATCACTTAAAAACGTAATGAAATGTTAAAATACTAAATGTTTAAAATACTAAAAGTTCTACTGAAAAATCTAAAAATCCCTTTCGATACTCGCTGTATCAATTGGCGTTTTACTAGTTTCGTCGTTAGACCTCTTCAGAATCCGCCATTTTGTTTCTATCGTGTTTTGTTTCTATTTTTTTAATAATACTTTAAAAAATCCTTAATTTTCTCCGAATTCCACAAATCGCCTAGGCGTTTTTGCCAAGAGTAGCATGTCCCGTAATTTTACGGTTTAGCGAGATCTTTTAGACATGCGCAAATTTTGCCAAACATGTGTAACAACGTAATAGATTTTCACGCCATTATGTTGGCATGAAAATATGCAGACTTATTCAAATATTGGCTAAAATATAATCAAACCAAGCTCTGCACAAAAAAGTTAAATACTTCTGGTTTTAAATACATATTGGAGTTGCAAAAGTGTAGATGCTAAATACATAATATAGTATATATATCACAGAAAACTGCACTGTCTATATAAAATTAAACAATATTCAAACGTCGGTGTTACCTGCGTAGTTGTTTTATTTCATGCGCATCGTTTCTTCAAAGCTTAATTTAAGCTA